AATTTTTAGCTTTAAACTGCGTCTTATTTTATGTCGATATAATTCTTCGTTTTCGAGATATAGTCATTTAAAAACAATTCTTTTTTAATCATATTAAATAAAGAAATAATAGGAAATTGGCAAGGTACAATATGGCAGGAAAATTATAATCTTAAAATAAAAAAAATTATTATTTTCCTACCATATTATATTTTAAAATGCATTTTAAACCTAAAACTGATACTTGAGCAAGGTATTAATAAAATTTAGAAAAAAATTTGCTATTAGTGCTACAACATAAAACCTTCCAAATCTTTTTTTTCCATTTTGACACCATTCTTTTCAAAATTGTAATGTGATAGCCAAATTTGAACAGTAAATTCGTATTTAGCAGGCAAAAATAAATTAAAAATAATTATTCACAAAAAGTTTTAAAATAATGTTGAACAGTGTAATTTTTCCATATTTTTTCGATTTTTAGTTCTCTATGAAAATTTTAATTTTTTATATATAAATATTGACGATTGAAATGGATATTTTTATTTATCAAATTTATTTTTCAAGTGTTTTCAGTAATAAAGATTTTATCAAAATTGTCATGTACATACTAAAAATGTTTCCTGTTGGCATTATAAAAAGAAGTATACTGACATATAAGTAAAATAGAATATATATCGAAGACATCCTTATTGTTATTTTATATATGTTCAGAAATTTATGTGTCATTTTTTTGTGACATAATTAATTTTATATCATCTTATCCATATAGGTTATATATACCTCTATTTGCACTTCTAACTATCGCACTACCAGTGGGAATTCCTTGTTACTTCTGGTCGGAATCGCTATGGATATCGTTTTGGGTGAACTTTAATTTTCGCTTCTGCATCAATTTAAACATAGCCTTCTCTGTCAATAGCGTGGCACATATGTGGGGGCAGAAACCTTACGATAAGTACGTATTAAATCACGAATGTATCGAAGATTGTCATTGATGGGACAATCGAAAATAAGCAACTATTTAAATCGATGAATTTTTTACATGACATTCTATCTAGTCTAAATATCAGTCTTTGAAACAGAATGTGATTATTTGCTTATAGAAACATTTCTCCAGTGGAGAACATTGCGGTATCAATCGCGGCGCTTGGTGAGGGATATCACAATTATCATCATGTGTTCCCATGGGACTATAAGACCGGTGAATTAGGCGACTACCCATTCAATCTTACTACCGCCTTCATTGATGCATTTGCACGAATCGGATGGGCCTACGATCGGAAGTATGTCTCACCAAATATGATCCATCGTAGAGCACACCGATGTGGCGATGGAAGTCATGTCTGGGGTTATGGTGATGTCGACATCTCGAAAGAAGATCTAGAGGAATTAGATGTCATGGACAATCACGAGCTGTGAGACTGAAAAATTTGAAAAAATATTTTGAGAAGAAGCATTTCCTAATATATCATATGTGGGCCATATGTAAAGTCTTTTGGACCATATCGCAAAGATTTGAGCTAAAATAATATAGGGATTTGAGATTCTCTCTGTATAATTTCAGATTGTCGTATACAGTATATATCATTGGGAAATGTTTAATGTAATAATTATTGAATTAAAGAGATATTTTAATTGCAAGATAGTCGATAAAGTACAGTTGGCGATTATAGTCAACAATTAATAAATAAACTATTTTATTTATGACATGAATTCGTCATAAAATTTATTGTAGAATTAATATATATACATTGATCGTTTATTTATTTTTATATTTATAGGCTTTGTCAATATCTCAGATAGCATGCGACATTATATGAACGTTCTAAGAATATATTGTACTTAAAAAATATTCTAATGCCAAAGGTTCTAATGCCCAATGTGTGTTAGAAATTTGATGCCGTATGGGATTGTTTGTTGCAGTAAGATAATAGTAAATATTGTATTTACCATCACAGTGTAAAATGACAAAGAAACAATATACAACTTCGCATAATCGAGAATCCATTGTTTAGGGAAATCACTAAATAAGGGAAATAAGTAAAGTACACTATTTAATATAATACGTATTATTTTTCGTATAATTTGTATGTAATTGTTATTTATAGGTATTATAATATATAATCATTTAACTGCATTATAAAAATTTCTAGTTTATTTAACGTAAATGACGTAAAGTACAATAATCTACAATAATCATAATAATATACAATAATCTAAATGAAAAGTTTATTAAATTAATATGATCTATGATAAATTATGTATATTCTAATGTATTTCTTTAATTTCTTTAAATTTTTTACTAGAAAATTGTATTTAAAATTTGTTGTTTTTTTTTGATAATTTATGCGATTAAAGGAATCAAAGATAAAAATAAAATAACCACACGTTATTGAGATAATTTTATCAACAAATCTTTTTTGTATTTTGTGAGTTTCGTTTCATGCAGAAACAAAAATTTCAATTAATATTTCGTGAAACACATATCAGGACACAGTATATGTTGATATTCATTTATATAATTTTAATACAATTTATTTTTAAAATCAAATTATTTTATGCTTTAATAATATATCTTTTCTTATACTTTTTCATATACTATTAAGTAACTA